TGTGTGTGTGTGTGTGTGTGTGTGTGTGTGTGTGTGTGTGTGTGTGTTTGGTTTGCTTTGTTTGAGGTAACCCTGCTGGTTTCCCCAACAGACCACCGTTTTAATCGTTTTAGAGCGATATTTGCACACCCACGGGCCGGACCATGCCACTTAAGAGGACCAGAACATCAAGCAACCACATGCAAATGATGCGCATAGCATCAAAGAGTTCATGCACCAGGACCTTGAGGACTAGATCATCCTGAACCAGGTCAGACATAGAGACTCCAAAGAGGTCAACTGAAGGTCCTGGTCCCAAAAGCATCGGTGCAGCGCCCGTTGCATGGACCGCAGGGACTGGACCTTGGCATCACGGGTGACGCTGACTGAGGTGCATCACCCCACACTGGTCTTGGCACTGCAAGAGACAGAGGACGGATGAGGGGGGGTTGGGTTGGGAGGGTTCTGGGTTCTTCAGTTTTGCGTGACCAGATACCTGCCTGTTATATCGAGATATTAAAAGATCTTAGATCTTCACACTTCTAAAGGATGATTCAATACAGCAATCCATATCCACTGTGGATGCCCATGTTACAAAAGGCAAAGGCGGCTGTTTTTTGTTGCGGATCGGGTGCCGTATGTTCCAGGACGTAATGAATTATTCTGAATCACTGGTTGGAGAGGGCTGCTAGTGATGTGGCACGATCCGCAGCTACGTGCCAGGGGCCGTTGCAAGCCTTCAACACCTCCGATGACAGGCCGTGAGGGACAACAAATTGAATACAAGCAACCATTGTATTTGGATGCATTTGGCACATCACCCCAATATGGAAATTGCAGCCGTGCTGGCTTTTTGGGGGAAATGTCCCATGCACAAGGAGAGAGTTATACACCCAGACACTCCGTGGGACTGCCATAGATGCCTACATTGAGCCCCCAAAGCACCCCAATGTAGGTATATGATTATATATGCATATATATATATATATGACATACATGGAGTGTTTGGGATAGGTCTTTCTGTGGCCCAGCGGATTTCTCCAAGCAGATTTGACCAAAAGGACTCTTATAAATCACCTGGCGGGAATCTCCGGCTTGGGGCCCGATGTCGTGGCGAGGGAACGTTGGTGAGTGGAGTCGGGTGGAGGCAGAGTTGCTGAGGTTCGACCCGGAAGAAGTGGATTGGAGAGATATGTAAAAAGCCAATTAAATATGTGTGTACCAGTTGGTAAGGATATTAAGATTGTAACTCCTGTAAAATAAGCTCTTGTATCACTTTCTAAACCTACAGTATACATATGATGTCCCCCTAATTATTCCAACCCTCCTGCCATTGTTGCCCAGTCAAAGAGCCTGAATCCCGCACGGTGGCAAAACATGTTGTTTGAGGGGGAAGCCTGGCACTGCTTGGACTTGAAAGCAAGACTCGACATCGGTGGCCGTGACGTGGTGGTGATGGGTGAATTCGATGGGTAGCGGGTAGCTTTGGCAGTTCGTTGCATACACAAGCTGAGGACCCATCGGGATTGATGGTTGGTAGTTACTATCCAATGACAGGAATAGAAATCATGCATGTTGTTTGTTTCCATTATGGTTGTTTTGTCCTTTTGGGGTGTGTTTGTCAACTAATTTCAATGCTGGGGAAGGGATACACACCCTGCACAATTATTTCCCCTTATTGTTGAATCAGTTGTTGAATCTTATGTCAAAAGGGTGAAACACTTGCACACCCCTCCGCATGACTCTTGGCTCCCAAGTGATGCCTTCTACACCAGTTTTTCCAAGAGAGTAAATCCAAGAGTTCTTTTTGGGGGAGCCTGTCTCTCCGGTGGATCAACTCAGACGCCGGCATTCACGACGGGATGGAGGCCCTGCAACAAGGAGTTGGAGCAATGGACCCCAGCACCTTGGCAGCGCCTGGGCTGCAACAAGTTGATGATAGTTGATGATAGTTGACAGGGTGTTAAAAATGGTTTGGCAGCGAAGGGTGAAGGGTTTGTTGAAAAATAAATAGATGAAAGTTGCTTGATGTTGCTTGTATTATGTTGTTGGTCCTTGATTGGACATGGAAGGCGGGTTTTCACTCGCCAATTCTACAAAGAAACCCAAGATAGACTCTTAATTGTGTGCATGTGGCGCTGTCCAATTTCTCAGAGCCTACTCTTTACTTGACAATCTCATAGACATTTATAGACAATATCCTACATGTGATCAGACCTGTGTTGTTGAATGTGTTGTCCAGATCGGCCCACCGTGGGCGAGCTGAGGTATGCGCCCGAGTCGGCGAGAGGCAGCTCGATGACCTCAGACTTGAAGGAACGTGCCAAGGTGGGAACATGTGGATTTTAAGTCCATCGAGGTGGGATGAGAAAAGGAGCGGAAAACTGAGGGGCGGAACGGATGAAGCGAGCTGTGTGTTTTTTGTTTCTTTGTTTTGCTGCTTACTTGTAACATCAAAATGGTATATACGGTATAGTTGACAAAGTCCCTGCGGTGTTTGGGGATGTTTTTCATTTGCGACCACACGTGTTTGTGGGTTTTGAATCACACCCAACAAGGTGGGATGGTTTGATTTCTACCGTTGGCTTGGAACTCTATGGAACTCTAACTCCGCAAGTCTTGACCTAAGTGGTCATAGACAGTATATAGGCCCTGGCCACATGAAATGCATGAAAGCAGCATGTCTAGAGCGAGTAATTGGAACATGTTAACCTCCATCTAAGACTGACTGGGAAGAAACAGAGAAGTACTACCTCCAACCAACTGGTTGTGATATGTTGTGATGCCTATGCTAGATTCATGTTAGTTTTGGGGTTGTACCATGCTCCATATGGGTGGTTTGGGTCTGATTTTGAAGCACAATCTCCGCAGTTCATGCTGCAGCTCCAAAGATGGTTCCACCAACGGCTTTGGACAGTGAACTACACTCACGGACCATCATCGTTGGATCAAATCGATGTTGAAGGCCTCCAATAAAGTGTCCATCAAATGCTATAGAGCCCAACAAGGCACTTCAGAAGCCCGGACACATTGTGTGCGCACATCCACAGTTTCTTACTGTCCATTTGTTATGTGAAGTGCCATTAGGTACAAGAAAAGCACTTACCCTCCCTCCAACAAACATGGAAATGGTTGTCCCCCCGTGTTTCGGCTATTCCGATTTCATGGTCTGACCGCAATTAAAATATACGTGGCCTGACGGTTGCCATCCACGTGTCGCAACGTTTGATTCCACGTCGCCATTCAGTTGACAGTCTCGTCTCCCGCGGACTCCACGCAGGTCGGACGGCGTGGCGTCTTCGGCACATGTGGGGGGGGGGGCCCGAAGGGAGAGGGGCCTGGGGCGCCTGGGGCTGGTCGAGATGTTGTTGTTTCTTTTTCCGGTATCTGGGTCTTTTTCGATGGTTTTTCGATATCACTTGAGCTCATTTAGATGGTTTTGTGATAGAGGTCCTAATTAGGCGTTTGAGATGAGACAAGTCAGAAACCCAATATGAATGTTCCCCTGGTACAGCACCATGGGATTGGTGAAGATCCTGTGATTCAATTGATGTTGGGATGTGAACCATTCAGGTACCAGGACTGGGGACAAAAGGAGACAGATTATATGGTGGCAATACATCAACTCCCCCTTAGGCTATGAAATCAGAGGCTACCTACAAAATGCAAACATTACATGTTGTAGGTGGTTTTAGAATGCTTGACGTCGGGCGGGCGGGCTGCATCTGTAGCCGTAGAATGGTTCCTTGTCGTCCTCGTTTGCGTTCCTCATCGATTGTCAACAGAGTCAGCCCTGCGCAGCCCATCATAGCTTGCTTTGCAATGCTTCGCAGGACCGTCGCGTGAGTAGTAGTTTCCGGATGTTTCCGGGGCCAAAGTTCTCTTGCCAACTCAGTGTAACATGTTGTAACTAGAATTGCTCAGAACATGATAGAACACAGTTTCTTGCATATATACATTATTATGTGTTTCAACACATCTAATCGTCTATATATATACATTTCATTATATCCATTCGTGTAAGCCAGAACCCTACACCACAAAACCAAAAAGACAGTGTCCTACAATTTCTAACATTCATGTAGCTCTTCGCATTGACGGAGCAGTCGCCAGCGGCGAAAGGAAGTGTGAAGAGCTGTGAACTTTTGATGTTTGTTGTATAACAAGGACGCTAGTAGGAGCTAAGGGCATCGCTACTAGGAGCTCCTGGCATCGCTAGGAGCAAGGACGCTACTAGTAACAAGAAGCTACGAACGTAACAAGGGCATCGCTACTATATATCAACTTTTTCATTTTTCGCCGTCCAGTTGAGCAAAGACGCCTTTACCGTCCTTTTTGGACCGTTCTGTTGGACCGTCCTCTAGTTAAACCATGTTAAACCCCGTCAAATGGCCTTTCAGAAGGGGGGGTGAAGGGGGGACCTACAAATTTAGTAATACATTTGCAGGTTCCCCCCATCTCCTAGGGGCAGTGATCGCAATACAGTTGCTTTAGTCTTGCTTAGGGTGGCTTGCTACTCTTCTATGGACATGAATTGCTGCAGCTTGCCACCCTGTTTCCTCATCGTACATTGGTTGTTTGTTTTTGTCCAGAAATCTACCATAAGAAGAACCAACATGAACTGAACTAACTGAAAAAGTTTGATAGAAGTCAGGAAGCCTCACTAAATCTCCTTGAGACTTGCAACATTTTCTTGCTACCCTGGTTCCTTCCGAATCGGAATATCACTTGCACCTCGGCCAGGTGCTGATCGTTTCTATCGAAGCCCCTTGAACGCCAAGGAAGGCCCTGAAGTGGAGCTGGGGAGCTCGGATGAGCACCTGCAGGTGCTCAATGCTTCCTCCGGTGAATGCCTTACTCTCTTACATAACAATACATGCCATGTTTGAGGGCTCGGTGGCGGACCCGTTTGCTTCAGTCTATCGAATCAAATGGTTTCTGAAAACAGTGATCACCTGAGAGATCTCCAGATGAACGGATTCTGCTCAAGGTCACATGGCATGAATAGTCTTTCAAACGAAACTCAGACCCTTCGAGCTTGTCTCCTAACCAATTCAAACGAGACAAAGACTCCATCCACCAGAACGAATCAAACATCCAAGCACCGCAGAGAGCGATTCAGACGGCGCAGCAACATTTTCGCTGGTTCCCCGGCCCATCGTTCCTGGAACCATCAAAGCTACTAGTACCAACCGACCGCTTGATTGGACCGCCTTCCTTTGCCCAGTTGGGACGGTGGCAACGCGGCCATGGGCAAGGACCCCACCTCGCCCGAAGCCAGGCGCTGCACGCGGGAGGAATTGTGTTTTACATGTATTGTAGACAATACAAATTGTTTGTTGTGTTTTTGCATGTTTGTTTGTTTTTTTGTCAGGGGTGTTTGGATGGAGAAGCAAGGAAAACGAACACATTCCTGTGGGTGTGGTGCCCACGGTAAAGAAACACACAATCCAGGAATGTGTGTTTCATTTATTTGTTCATTCCTGGAATCCACTTTGGCGATTTGTTTGGTGGATGATTGGTTTCTAACCTGTCAATTTTAGACCGATATGGATGCTTCTAACATGTCATATGTCACAAACGTCAAATTGACACGGAGTTGGTCAAGGAGCTGGATTTGCCAGCCAATACACGGCAAAGGTAAAACCGAGTATCCAGGCCTGTACAATTGCAAGAGGGACATCAGAAACATCAGTTGATTAGTTGGTTTGAGGTGCATACAGATATGTTTTCAACATTTTTATCAGCATGAGGACGCGCAAGACTAGCCACCGCTGTTTTTCCTTTGTAGATCCTTGTGTTCCAAAGGTCCCTCGAAAAGTTGTTTGAAAACCATAGTGTACCCCACTGGAACTGGAAGTGGAACTGGAACTGGAACCCCCCCCCCCGGATAAAAAATAATCATCCACGCTAAAAACTGACGTTGGCAATCACGTCCAGACTCGGACCCAGAGTTGGAACTGGAAGTGGAACTGGAACTGGAACTCCCCTCCCTCCTCCCCAGTCTTCCGTGTTGGACGACGTGGAACTGGAACTGGAACT